ATATATATATATATATATATATATATATATATATATATATATATATATATATATATATAAGTAATTGCAAATATTAATAATACACTATACAAATATAATACAACCAGAAATCTCAACCATCAAGTAATCTGATATAATAATATAATAAATCTATTAATATGTGAGAAATTTGTAAAGAGGGGAAGGCAGAAATTAGACAACATGAAATTAATATTATATCAGATATAATATATACTAGAAGGGGGGGTACGTACTCTTTAATCACTAAAAGTCAATCTTAACTACAATTTATTAAATCTTTTCTGCAGAGATAATTTATAATTAATAATAATAATAATAATAATAATAATAATAATAATAATAATAATAATAATAATAATAATAATAATAAAAAAAAAAAAAGGAATTGGAGGGGTAGCTCTGCAGATAGGTCAAGGCTCGTGATTTCTCTCGTTCCAGCAAACGAGCATCGCGACGCAACGGCGGAGGATGTAGAATTTGGCGCGCTGTTTCTTGGCCAAGTGGCTGCATTTCTCGCCGAATGATTTGTACGAAACGCTCACTCTCTGATGAGGATATTCAATTCCCTTTTGATCAATACTTTCAGCTGCCATTATATTATATTGGGAATGATATATATTAAACAACAAGTAGCTAGAGAGAGAAAGAGTAGAGAGAGAGAGAGAGGTGGAGGGGATGTAGATACATATATATTTATATGTATGTATATATATTGATGGGGGAGGAGTTTGGTTATTGAGATATGTTGCTGGAAATAGGAAATCTAGGACACGTACGAATTAACGATCATAATTTGAGCATCTATAATTGACAGTCAAAAGTTTTCTTTTTTCGTTGTTTTTTAATTATTATTATTATTAAAAAATATATATATATATCTTTTTTTCGGGAAAACAAAATATTAATTTTTTTCGAAAGTAAAAAACTCAATTTCAATTCAGCAAAAATACAGAATATTTTTTGACGGGTTTTCAGATAATTTCGCCTAAAATAATTGGGCTTTTCTTGTCTCACTATATATAACCCATGTAATAAATTATGAAGTGTAAAATAAAAGGGCCAAAAATTCAAATGAAATGTTTGATATACAACAAGAATTTCTTGTGGGCCGGAATGAATTATTGGTTAATATTCAAATTTCGGACCAACCAACTTAATATCAAATGGGACAATTAGCCCAAATCATTAAGTCACAATTGTCATTATTAAGATAAACATGATTAATTATTATTTAAGATTAAATCACAATCCCCACGATTAAGGCACTCACCATGTGCTTGCACCTTGCACATCATTTTTTTTTCTATTTTCGTGGATAATGAAAAACCCGCAGTCAATCATATAAGTGCAGTTGAGTAAACCATAACTTATACTCTCGTATAATATCTTGCAAACCATATGAGAGACATAAACCATATTAGACTAATCACGTGTGACAAACTTAACCAAACGATTGTTGACAATTAGATTTGAATTTGGGTCAATTAACAGATGCTAACTTACTTCATCCGCTAGATCATCCCTTACGGAATGCTTGAGGGTTGATTTAGATGTACGTTCCGACAAATCAAAGTAGAATTGATATCTATTACAGATTCTTTGGGGCCAAATTTTATTTTCATTTATTTATTTTATGTGTAAGTGACATCAACTCAATTGAATAAAGTTTGTTACCTTATCTCGATGAATTTCATTAGGTTTTGTTTGCTTGTTAAAAAATAATTAATTAGTCAAAATAATGCAATTTCATGAGAGCTTAACAGTGTAATTTAAATTAGAGAAGGTCTAACACACAATTTTAAAAAATTAAGATAGAAAATCATATATTTTTTGCACAACTAAGAGCAACTCCAATAGAGTTATTAAATGAGTTATCAAATCTCTTAACTACCATTTGACTCCTAAAATTTAAAAAGTGTGTTCTCCAAAGGAGTTATTAAAATGGGTTTGTATTTTGATATTTCACCTCTTTGAATCTTAGAGCAACTCCAATGGTAAAGTATCAAAATCGATCATCAAATATTAATTTGATACTCGTTTTATTATTTTGATACTCATTTACTCCAACCGTAAGCATTAAATGAATCATCTAATTTTAAATATAAGCATAAATATATTTAATATTGACACGTGTCAATTTTTAATTGGTTTGTTGGGTAGTTAATGTTTTGATACCTCTTTTTCCAGGATGCATTTTTGCATCTCCGGAAGTTGAATATCAAAATAACTACCAATTTAATTCCCCCATTGGAGATGAAAATTTATGTTTTGGAGCATCAAAATAGAAGTTATTCCATTTAATTCCCCATTTAATTCCTCCACTGGAGTTGCTCTAAAAATACTTTCTGCAGATTGAGTTATCAAAAAAATAACCACCTAACCAACCAATCACAAATTGACATATGGCAATCTTATATATAAAAGAAAGAAACGCTAGGGCAACCCTAAGAAACCCTAATGTCATATTTGTAATTTTTTTTAAATTTTTATCAAATTTTTATCTCCTTGATATTATTTTAAATATTATTTTTGAATTTGATCATATTTGTATCCCCTAAATATTATTTTAAATATTATTTTTGAATTTTATCATATTTGTATCCCCTAAATATTATTTTAAATATTATTTTTTATTTTTATCAGATTTTTGTCTCCTAAATATTATTTTTTATTTTTATCTCCTAAAAATTATTATAAATAATATTTTTTTAATTTTATCAAATTTATATCTCCTAAGTCCTAACTATAATTTTCAATATAATTTTCAACTTTTAGCAGATTTTTATCTCCTAAATATTATTTTCGAATTTTATCAAATTTATATCTCCTAAATAATATTTTAAATATTTTCTTCGAGTTTTATCATGTTTTTATTAGTTTTTTATCTCCTAAATATTATTTTCGATTTTTATCAGATTATTGTGTCCTAAATATTATTTTCGATTTTTATCAAATTTTTATCTCCTAAATATTATTTTAAATAATAATTTTAATTTTAATCATATTTTATCTCCTAAATATTATTCTAATTATTATTTTCATATTTTATCAACTTTTATCTCATTAACATTATTTGAAATATTATTTTCGATTTTTTATCAAATTTTTATCTCCTAACTATTATTTTAAATTTTATTTTCGATTTTTATCTCCTAAATATTATTTTTTGATTTTTTTATCAAATTTTTATCTCCGAAATATTATTTTAAATATTATTATCGATTTTCATCAAATTCTCCTAGATATTATTTATAATAATCTGATTTTCGATTTTTACAGAAAAGGGTAAATAAATCTGATTTTCATCCCTAGCGGATTTTGTGACATCGTTTTACAGAATGTCTGCAACATTTGAATTTTATTTCTTCCCTACCTAAGGCTTCTTCTTTTGGTAACCCGACTTTAGATTTTGTTTCTTATCTTCTTCTTCATCCTATTGCATGTGTGGCAATTAGTTTACATCTTTTTCCATCATGGCTTATAGGTAATTTCATTTTGTTAAATTATGTGTTTCATTAATTTATACCAAAGTTTTCAAATTTTATGTATAATAATTCTTTCATTTTATATGTTATTGGACATGTTATTGAAAGGGATGATTTGAGAAAATTAACCAAAAATGGGCGGAGCCACAAGCTATTGGAAGTCGACCATCAAGACTTATTGTTTGTATATGCGATATTTAATTTATTGTTTATATTTATTTTTGTTTCTTAATTTTCCAATTGTTAATTCCAATGGCAAAACAACCTTAAAATGAGGCAGTGGAGAAGGCTTTAGTTCCGATGCAAGATGTATAGATGGCCTTTTACGATGGTATGTTGTCAATAGTTTAGTTTTGATTATGTTAACTTAGTTATTAAATCTAATTACTTTTAAGCTCAACATGGAAGACATAATTGATGATTTTTTTCCTGGTTCAAATTTTCAATCTACTGGTATTAGCTGATTCAATTCATTTGGAAAATTATTCAACAGTAAAGTTATGTCCTTTTTTTTTTATATTCTTACAACATCAAAAGAATGCAATTTGTTGTCCCGTGCATCGCACGGGTACAATTACTAGTTATATATAAAATTATTAAAAAAACTTCCAATTGATAGTAAAATTTGATTACCATGGTTGGTAGGGGTGCAAGTTGGAACGGAATTTCCAATTTTCGCCGATTCCGATCCGAAAAGTTCCGACTTTGGAACAACTTTTTTCATTCCGACTTCCGAAATTCCGATTTCCGATTTTTTTCGATTTTTTTGGATTGGAATTGGAATTATATAAAATAAATTTGGAATTTCCGATTTCCGATCCGATTTAATTCCGAAATTAATTCCGAAAAAATCCGATTTTTTTCCGAAAAATACACCTATAAATAATATATATTATATAATACTTATTTTCCGAAAAATACACCTATAAGTTTTGTTTTTGGATTTTGACATAATGAATTGTTATTTGAAGTTTTATTGGATATTACGTTGTGTTTATTTTTATTTATTTTTTTGAACTGAATTTTAGTAGTTATTAGTTTTACTTTTATCGGCGTGAATTTTCTTATTTTTGAAAAATTATGAACATTATAGAAATTTTCGGCTAAGTTTTGAAATTTTAAAGCTTATGTGATTTCCGATTTTTTTCCGAAATTCCGAAATTTCCGGGCCTTTTGGAATTGGAATGAATTTTTAGATTCCGAAATTTTTGGAATTGTAATTGTAATTGATTTTGTACTTCCGAATTTTTTTGGAAATTTTTCGAAAAGGCTAATTACGATCCGATCCATCCGACTTTCACCCCTAATGGTTGGAGTAGATGAGTTTTAAATGTAATTTAAAATATTATCATAAATATCAAATGAGTATTTGATAATCCAATTTTGATATTTAGCATTATTAACTACTAAGGGTTCGTTTGGTTACTGCTATTACCCCCTACTAGACTAAATAGTAGGGGCTAATAGCATGTCCGGTTGACAAGATTCGCACCAGGGGAAGCCCGCTATAAAAACATGAGCCCGCTACAAAACCCTATTAATTCTCAAAATCTAATCGGTGCTCCACCCCTGCGATTAAAATAGTAGATGCCTACTAATAATGAAAATTACACTATTACCCTAGAATAAAGTTACGTATATTCACCCTATTCTATTAAATCTTGGAAGAAACAAAACCTAACCCACTTTTTATCTTCACCTCATTATCAAAGCAAGAAAAGTCTTGAAGAGAAGAACGGCTGTAGGCCATTTTAATTGGTAATTTCTTGAAATTTATTTTATTGACTTCAGATTATTTTTTGTTTTTGTTCATAGGTAGCAATGATTTGGTGACTTTGCATAATATTTTTGTGTTTCCTGCTTTGGTGAGGCAGGAGATGTATTTTGTTGTTGATTTTTTTTAAATTTATATTCTTCTCTGTTTTTTTTAATTGAAGAATATATCGTTTTTAATTATAGTTCTTTACTTCTAATAATCATTATTTGTGAACTTAATTGTTTGATTATTATTGAGAATCAGAATTATTCTCTCGTTTATTTTGATCAAGTTTAGAAGTGCAGGCTTAAAAAATTGAGTTCCATGGTTTTAGAAAATTTATAGAGTTTAATATAATGAAGT